AAACACACAGACACACACACACACACACACACACACACACACACACACACACATATACACACGCACACACACACACACACACATACACACGCACACACACAGACATCAATATACATGTCAACTGAAGGTCCATCGTTACATCAGGTTCGTTGGCGAAATAAAACTTACGTGTGTGTGTGTGTGTGTTATGTAGGCGTGAAATGATGTGTTAGATATCATGCAATATATTTAACGAAAGCGTATATGGCAATGCAGCATCAAAAGTCAATTTACACTTGGTGTCCGGTAGACCTAACGTCGATCTATCAGATTAAATTTGTGTCATTCTTTGCCTAATATACCTGTAAACAGAACATACATGTATGTATTCATCAATACACAAAGAAACACACACACACACAATTATACACACACACACACACACACACTCACACACACACACACACACACACACACACACACACACACACACACACACACACATATATATATATATATATATATATATATATATATATATATATATATATATATATATACTTATGTATGCATGTATATGCATCTATCTCTCAAACTATCTATGTTCATAACTATCTATCTATCACGTGCGTTCTTCACAAAACGAAAGCTTTCCCTCCCAAGGCCGACAGCACAGCCTCCGCAGTCATGTCAGACTCAGCTCGATCCTCGCATGATAGCGAAATGTCCGTCTTCCTTTTGGCTTTAAATAACATCCGACAAAATATCGTCCGGCGAGTGACACCCACCTCGCCAATTTAACCTTTCGTGGAAACAAGTCATAGGTCACTGTTTTGTTCTTCCGGGGAGGGGGGGAGGGGTATTTTTATTGGTAGGAATCAATGGCATTATCCGAGACTTGAATTATTTGTTCCGCGATATTTTAACTCGAAGTGAGCCATTACGGACAACACTATGAGACGAATGTTGCACGTTTATTGCAGCTTATTCCGCGAAGTTGCACGATCTAATGTCATTCTCTCGGGGAAATAGACGCCGTAAAGCAAGGATGTCCTTTTTTTTTGGGTGTTTTATTCTCTTTTTTTTTCCCTCTCTTTTTTCCCTCCCGTTTCCAGGAAAATTTCCCCGTTTCTGTGACCGCGCTTAGGGTCAGGGGGTTCAGGGAGGGGGGGCGGGGGGATGCAGGGGATGGGGACAGGGCCGGGTCAGGGGGTACAGGGAGGCCGGGGGTTTGCAGGGGAGGGGGCAAGGGAGCGGGTAAAGGGAGGGGGGGGGGAGGGTCCGACCGGAGATCAAGGGAGGCGGGGGGGGGGGGGTATAGGGTACAGGGACGATGCGAGTGGAGTTCAGGGGAGTGGAGGGGGGGGGAGGGGGAGGGGAGGGGGGGACAGGGAGAGATCCTGCGTGCCTCAGAGGGGGGAACAGGATGGGAGGGAGGGGAGGGAGGGCCAGGGAGAGGGGGGGCAGGGAGACAGGAGAAAATGCTAACCCTGGGACATCTCTCCGCATTATAAATTCACTGCAGGCTGAGAAGTTTTGAATATTCAAATAAACGCGGTCCTCTCCAAGCATTATAACTTCTTGTAGGCGTTCATTACCACATGCTCTACAAGGAGTGAGGTGTCTGTGCTTGCTTGAGGACATAATGTTTATTGCTTGCGGAAAACATGCTTTGGCAAAGGATCCTTCAGAATGAGAGGGACAAGTGTCTTTGGAATACTAAAGGTCGTTACTTCATGAGATTATGTTTATTTACAACTTCAATTAGTTGGATGCGGCTAAAGTTTGCATTAATAATATTTATATTATGATGTGTGGGTGTACACACATACATACACACATATATACATATACATATCTATCTATCTATCGATCTCTATATACGAATATATATAGATACATATATACATACATATATATATATATGTATATATATATATATATATATATATATATATATATATATATATATATATATATATATATATATGTATATATATATATATATATATATATATATATATATGTGTGTGTGTGTGTGTGTGTGTGTGTGTGTGTGTGTGTGTGTGTGTGTGTGTGTATGTATACAAATATGTATACATGTATATAATTATGCATATGTGTGTGCGTGTGTGTTCGTATGTATATATACATATGCAAACACACGCAAACACACACACACACACACACAAACACACACACATAGAGAGAGAGAGAGAGAGAGAGAGAGAGAGAGAGAGAGAGAGAGAGAGAGAGAGAGAGAGAGAGAGAGAGAGAGAGAGAGAGAGAGAGAGAAAGAGAGCGAAAGAGATAGAGAGTTAGCAGCGACATGGGTGGAGTCATGGTCTCAGTGCTTTCTCCCACTATCAGTGAGGAATCTCCGTATCTCCCCGACTGATGTAAGGAGGGTGATCTTCACACAAAAGGCAACCGTTCTCTGAGCTGCGAAAGTTTGGTGATGAACCAATTGCACGTTTACGGGACTTCTACGTGGTAGTCTGGAACGTTTCTCCCAAGACAT